GGGGGGCGGGTTCCTTATTTTTTCTAAAGCACAATGTACCCCAAAGCCCTCTTCTAATTGACGTCTTGTCTATATGAAAGGTTGAAGTGGTTCTGGGTGGTGTAGCCGCTCATTATCTCCAGACTTTCGGGGGGGTTTAGGGTTTAAGGTTTAGGGTTTAGACTTATTCTGACTTTCAAGTGTACAGCTCAAGTGACTTCACATAGATGCTTCGCTGTCGCATGTGAGTAAAAGTGTGGGCGTAAGTCCGCGTTGCCGTAACCTGCTCCGTGTAACGGGCATCAATTATTAAGGCCCCTACATTGCATAGAATGGTCTTAGCTCAGGAGCCTTGATCAGGGTAAAGGAAGCGTTTTGGTAAGCGTGTTGGGTGTTCGAACCCTCAGCCCTAATCAAACCCCTAAGCCCTCCACCCTAAACCCCTAAGCCCTAAAACCTTAAATTGAGACGCAGATCGAGGAGCTCGCGAGCCGACCAGTGGCGCCAGGGGCTATGAGTGATGGGGTGAACGTGGGTGACCCTTGGGCCGACTACCTCAACCAGAAGAACAAACAGGGTGACAGTGCCACGAACAGGCGGGGCGAGAACAAGGAGGAGGCGAAGGGGCTCAGCGAGGAGGATCAGCGCACACTCATTGTCGGAGGATGGCTCCCTGACACTAGGAGGGCCAAGATCGAGGAAGAAGCCAAGGAAATCCTCGACCGGGAAGACTTGCAGCACCTCATCGATGCCGATAAGCTCATGGTCTTTGGCCCTCGCCGCAGCTTCGGGATGCTCAGGTTCCACTTGCGCCAAGGTGAGACGATGCCTGATCTCAAGAAGAGGATGTGGGAGGTTGTGAGCAAGATCCGAGGGGCCAAAATCGTATTGGACAGTACTCGAGGTGAGCATGGATCTGGCGGGAAAGTTGCCTGGGCCTCCTTCCTTAAAACGCCTGAGGCTCGACGTAGGTCTGCGCTGTGCTCACTCACGAGAAGGATCGCCATGCAGCTTGCTTCCATTGGTGGGGGGACTAAGAATGAGGCAGCCCTTGTACCCGAGAGTTACGATGTTGACTGGGGGACCGGGACCATTTGGAATGGGGAGCTGAAGCTTGCCAGCGCCACCCACAGAAAGGACAATAACAGGGGAGATGACTTCTACGTGCTCCCGCAGGGATGGGTTGACCTTCGAGCGATTACCTCCCTCACGGGTGTCGCATGGGAGGAGGCTGTGGCAGCCTTTCAGCGCGAGCTTTGACAAGGGCCTGATGGTTTCACCAAAGCCCCCCTTCAACAGGGGTGCTCTTTTCTGCAAGTCGCATCTTGGAACCTTGGTGGTCAGCCGGTGGATAAAGTTGCTACTGCTGATCCGTGCACAGACGTGTTCCTGGTGCAAGAAGTTGCAAGGGGTGAATGTGGATGGTCGGAAAAAGAGACAGACACACACTTCTGGCTGCTACATCGTCGGCATGATCAATGGCGAGGGACTGGTTTTGGAGTATCCAATGAGATCTTCGACTCCGTGATATCTCGCAAAGCGACGCCCAGGGGGGTCGTGGCCCTTGTTAAACTTCGTGGCAGGGGCAAAATCCTTCTAGGTTCACTGCATGCGCACACCGGTGTTACGAACAAGATCTACCAGGAAGCCGTTGCGGAATTCACTAGTGAGCTCTCCGGAAAGTGGAGAAAATATCCATGCATCCTGGGGGTTGATGTCAATGAGGCCATTACTTGGGGTGGTGATCTCACCTCGCACCAGGTTGACATTGCTGCTGGGACGACCAACCTAAACTACCTTTGTGGACGAGCGTCCAATGTCGGACTTCGGCCCGCAGTACCACTCTATCACCACCGTCTTCGTCCTACTCATTGCCCGCGTGATGCTGAACGAATGGGGCGCCATATTGACAGCATTTGGGTGAGACAAGTCAAAGTGGGTGAGGTTACGATTGATGCTGAGGCGAGGCATCGTATTGGGACGGATCATGCTCTTCTAACTGCACCTGTAACTATCTCCCGCACCCCAGCGAGATGGGCACAAGACTCGAAGCCGAGATTTGTCCATTCCCCGCTGCCCTCAGTTCCCCTGGTGGATGTCGAGGACATTTCGGCCCTGGCGAGGACGTGTACCAAACCGTTCCCTTCGATGGGCTACAAGGACCCCGATGTTGTCTTGGATGCCATACGACTGGCTCAACACTCTAAACAACCTGGTGATTGGAAGAAGGTGCACAAGCTCAGAAAGCTCGCAAGACATGAGTGGGAAGCTAAGCGAATTGAATGCATCCTGAAAGGAGACTGGGCTCAGTACAGGCAGCGGAAACGTCAGCTCAGCAAAAGATCTGGGTGGTGGGGGACCATGCTGGAGGCCTGTGGCGAGGAGGAGCTTGCACAGAAAACCAAAGACCATCTGGCCAGCAAGCTTTGCGGACCCCCTGCGAGTGAATGGGACGAAAAGCTGGATGCCCTCATCAACCAGGTTCAAGTTGAGAAGGATTGGACTCCCTTTACCTTACAAGAGGTGCAAGGGCAGCTAGCTCAGATGAAACCCAGGTCATCTGTTGGACCGGATGGGATTGGGGTTGACTTGCTCAGGAAGATTGCCGAGACAGAGCTGCTATCGGAGGACCTGGTTGACATCATCAATCACATTGTGCAGCATGCTGCAGTCCCTGAATCTTGGAACAAGTCGCTCCTGGCCCTACTTGCGAAGGTTGACGTACCCAAAGGGCCGCAAGACCTTCGTCCAATAGCTATGTCTTCTGCTATGCAGAAACTTGTTTCCCGACTGGTTATGACGCGCGCGTTCCCTCTTCTCCGGGGGGGCACTGACATCTGCTGCTCTGGCAAGAGTCGACAGGCCGCTGACTTGGTGGGGTGTCTCACCCATTTGCGAGACGTGGTCAAGGAATGGCGCCTCCCGATGCTGATTGCCAAGCTTGACATTCGGGGTGCTTTCGACTCATTGGGAAGACATGCACTTGCTTCCTACCTCTTACGCAAGCTACAACATTGTGCCGTTGGCAGAGAGTTGCGCTACTTACTTCTGCAGGTTCGTCCTAATCTTCTCTTGGGTCGTGTTCCTGGTGGCGAGATGCTTGATCTCTGCTGTACCACTGGGATCAGGCAAGGTTCCCCGGAATCCGCGGAGCTTTTTGCTTTGGTCCTGCAGGACGCCCTTGAGGACATGATGCACAGCAAGGCCTGGAGATCGCTAGGGGTGACCATTCCGGAGTTGAATGTGGAGCTCTTAATGTATCAGGACGACCTTTTTCTGTGGGACGATGATGCAGGGCGACTTACAAAAAGGTTGGAACTGATCAATGACTGTCTTCGCGTGTTAGGCCTACAACTTGCCGCTAAGAAGACAGCCATCACCAGTTCCAACGATTACGTCGGGGCGCGTCGCATCCTTTTCCTGGGTAATCAGATCGACATTCAATCCCCATCTCAACCAATACGAGTGCTCGGCTTGAACTTCACGTTTGACGGGGATTCTACCCGACAGGCCAGAGAGCTTATTGCCCGGCTCCGGGCTGCCTTCCGGGAGCACAGGGAATTGCTTTGTGGCCGGGCTAGTTGGGATAACAAGGTCTTCGCTGTCAAAAGGCTGGTGTTGAGCACCATCTCTTGGGTTGCAGGAGCTGTCTACTGGGGCCCACAAGACTTAGCGACCCTCAATACGTTGCAGATGCATGTCATGAGGGATGTCTTTCTTCTTCGTCGACATCAGGGTGAGACGTGGGTGGACTACAATCAACGCACCATGAGGTTTGTCAGAGCATGGATGCACACAAACGGCTGCGCTAGGTGGAGCACTACCGTGCGGGAGCTACAGTTCGGCATTGCAGGCCACTGGTGCAGACAAACTGAAGACGATGGAAGAGGGGTGTGTGCTCGGCCTGGGCTCCCAGCCCGCTTCTTGGCATGGAGAAACATGGCATGGTGGAGAGGCCAACAACGCCTTTCCACTGCAGCGGGTGGTCTTCGTCACACTGGACAGTTCTTTCCTGCGAGTTGCGAGAGGGATTTCGCTGAACACTTGGGTTGCGATTGGGTGCAAAAGGGTGGGGATCGTACGGCTTGGGGTGAACTTCGTGAACAGTGGCTCAAACAAACAGACCAACCCTGGTGTCGTGGTCGGCAACTTGCATTGGCACGAGAGTGAGCTGCATGTCGTGATGTTGCGCTCTCATGGTAGTGAAGCCTACCTGAGCTGAGTCTGTTGAGAACGTCTCTTACGTTTGCAGCTTTGCTCGAGTACCCTGCTTTTCGCGACCTTTGGCCTTCCCTCCACCTTGCGCTTGGTCATGGCCCTGGCTGCCTCCAGTCTACGCATGTGGTGGGTGACCTTCCTGGTGCTGTGGCTGGACAGTGGTTCCTCACGTGGTGTGGTAGGGGGGCCTCCGACATGGCCCTTGACCCCTGCTACCTCGCCGGTCTCGTTGCCGGGATGGTCTGCGCTCTGTTTGTCATCATGGCCCTTGGACTTTGATGCCTACATGTTGGAGATATGGGAAAATACTATGACTTCAACGACCTCGGCGACTACATTCTCTTTTACCTCAACGTCCCCGACGTTGATCTTGACTTCTTCGACTTCGACCTCAACGACTTCTATGAGCACTTTGACCTCTTCGACTTCAACGACTTTTCTGAGCACTTTGACCTCTTCGACCTCTGCGACCTTGTCGACTCTCTTGAGCACTCCGACCTCCTCGACTTCAGCGACTTTGTGGACCTCGACGTCCTCCGTGACAGCCTGGCCTATAACCTCGCAGTCCACCGCAACATCCCCTACGATGGTGCCTGCATGGATGAATGACCCCCTCCCTGGGGTGAGCTCCTTCATCCTCCTGCATGATGTCACTGAGGTGTTCAGCCCCATGGGTGAATTTGTGTATGGAGTACATTGGATGTGGGAGGACGAAAGAGGGTGCACATCGACCACTACCTCCACCACTCCTGGGGGTGAAGTTCGTTGGCATGGCACTGGGATCCGCGAAAGCTCTACTACGTCCACTACCACTCCGGATGGTCCTGCAGCTGAGGGAGAGCTTGGGGATTATAGTCCTGATGCTACCGGGGAGGAACTTGAGACGTTGAGTTTACAAGAGCTTGTGGATCAAGAGCTGTTGGGTGGTGCCAATCAATCTGGACAACTATTGATGGACCTGGACCAGCATCCTTCGGAGTTCGCCGTGGTCAACGAGCCCCCTCCTAATCGGCCGACTACGATTGATTGGACTCATGATGTTCTGCACAACTTGGCGCAGAGGGTGCTCGACGACACTATAGGGGCACAGCGCTACGGGCATCCACCTACGGTACGCTGGGGTGCTCACATTGCAGCGGCGGAGTTTCGGGACGTTGGCCGAATGTTTACACGTCTGGGGGACATGATCGTCAACAGCATCGACAGGCCAGTGGACGAGCCACGAACACCTCCACCGACTAACGAGCCCATGTACAGACACTATCGTGCATGGAGTCGTAGATGGAGAGACATGTTCCTGGGGGTGATCAGGGAGTTCCTGCAGCACACCGACGCGGAGGCCGTGGAGCATCAAGCCCGACTGCGAGTGAGGGATGATCAGTACAGAAGGATGGCCGAACTACGTGACCTGGAGAGGTATCGCACACCTCAGCGAACTGGGCCAGATCCTGGATTGGGTGTTCCCGTGGCAAGAAGACCTTCTGGGGCCATGGGGGGTAAGCGGTCGCACGGGCAGATGACGGCTGAGGGTGACGACAGAGGGCGCTCCTCAACGGACACCTTCCCGGGCCCTTCTCCTCTTGAAGTTGTACCTCCTCGTCCCAAGTTTCGCATGCCTACACCCTCGCCTAGTGAGGAGGCTAGGGGAGTACGACCTGTTCAGACGCCTGATCTTCGGCCTCCGTCTTCTGGGTCGAGGTTGGGTGTTGGATTGGCTTCGCCTTCATCTTGGCCGCAGGGGTTGGAAAACCGTGGTGGACTACATGGGGGTGCGACAATTGCTTGGGATGGGCCCATTACGTCGCTGACGTCTTCCTTGTCTACGGCGAGCTCCTCGGTTGGGTGTGGTACACACGCGTCTGGAGAGACCCTGCTCATGCCCACCACTCCTATAATGCCGCCACCTAGCAACGCCTCGATGCCACTGCCTACGCCTCCAGTACCTGACCAACGACCGCCGGCTACCTCGTCTGCCAGTCTTGGGGAGACACGACCGTCGGCATGGGACCACCACAACAACCTGGGTACGCCTACCATCCCCCCGGTGCCCATCGTCACGGCCGTCACTCCTGTCACTCCCTTTGATGAACGTGGTCGTCCCATCACTCCGGTTATCCCTTCGGCGCCAGTCATCACTTCGGCTACGCCTATGACACCCTTCCCCGAGGACGTCCCGGAGGTCGATGATGTGATCCAAGAAATATGTGGTCCCTCGTCCTCTTCTACCACGACTACCGGGGTGCCTGGCCTTGGACTGCCTTTCTCTAATTCGTCTACTACCACGCCGCGTGGGATGGAGGAGGAGGTTGACTATGGTGAGCAGGATGAGCATGTTCCCTCGGATGAAGTGGAGGTGGCTGTCGAGGAGGATGGAGCAGCAGCTATGGGTGGTGACGAGGAAGTGGCCTTGGGTGAACAGGACACGGGGGAGGATGACCTCTCCCCGCGCGAGGAACGGCTTGCTCGCCGTGTTGCTGGGCTTGTCGTTGCTGAAGTTTACCATCTACTCCGCACGACTGGGGTGATTGCAGGACCTGGGATGCCTACCGACAGGGATGTGAGAGTTACTCCCAGGGGTGTGACTGGGGCTTCTCGGCCTGCACCTTCGCTGAGTATGCCTGGGACTTCTAGGTCGACATCCAGGCGACCTCGCATGTCCCATCCGTACACGATCCCTCGAAGCTCGTTGCACGGTCCCCTGCGATCTACGTCTTCTACAACTACTGAGCTGAGTGTGGGGTTGTTTGGAGACTTGGCGCTCTTGGTGCCTGGAGTGGAACCTTCCACATCTTCATCGACGACACCTCTGCCTTCTACGTCTTCACCACCCTCTACGTCCTCGTTGGCATCTACATCTCCGCCCTTGGCTTCGGTGCAGTTGGCCTGCTCTTCGGTGTGGACGAGACTTAGTGAGGCGTTCTGGCTTGTACTGAGTTCAGTTGCTGCCAAGCTGCTGCCTTTTCGGGCTTGAGTGAGCGGATCTTCCATACCAAAGTCTCTGCGGGAAGGCCCTGTTCTTTGCAGTCGGAGTGTAGCTCTTAGTGTGTGGAAACTCCTTGTCTGTGACAGGGGTGTTTTCGGGTTTGAGTCGGAGTCGCTGTCACAAGTGCAGGCTCGCTGAGGCTGGATCGTTCGAAAGTCCGGTTCATTGCACTTCAAAAAAAACCTTAAGGACCCTAATCTATAGGAACCATGGTATATTCCTTATTCTGGGTCATGCAGGATTCTACCATCAACCTCCTGAAACCTAAACCCTAAAACCCTAAAGCCCCACGCCCAAAACCCTAAACCCTAAAACCCTATAACCCTATAACCCTAAACCCTTAAACCCTAAACCCCCTAAACTCTAAAACCCCTAAACCCTAAGACCCTAACCCCCTAAACTCTAGATCTCTAAACTCTAAACCCCGAAACCCTAAACCCCCTAAGACCCTTAAACTCTAAACTCCAAATCTCTAAACTCTGAAACCCTAGACCCTAAACACCCTAACCTCTAAACCCCTAAACCCTAGACCCCTTAAGCTCTAAACCCCTAAACCCTAAAACCCTAAACCCCCTAAACTCCATCCCCCTAAACCCTAAACCCTAAGGTACCTTTAGTTCAGGTCCGAGGCTACGTCCAAGGAGTGGACATCGCCCCGGATGGCCGTGCAGTGCCGCTCCTGGCACCTTCGGCCCCTTGCTGCAGAGTGGGGTTTAGTTGTAGGTATTAGGGGTTTAGGGTTTTAGGGTTTAGGGTTTGCGGCTTTGGGTTTAGGGTTTAGGGTTATAGGGTTTTAGGGTTTTGGGGCTTTGGGGTTTTGGGCCACTTAGGGCTTACCGTATGGCTCCTGAGAGGGTCTTGGGCTTTCTAGGGTTTAGGGGTTAGGTTGGGAGATTTTGGGCCATTCAGGGCTTAGGGTTTCGGGTTTAGGAGTGTTTGGTGTTTCAGAGGGGGGTTTCCGGGCTTCCAGAGTAGGGTTTGGGGGTTTAGGGGTTTCGGGGTTTCGGGGTTTAGGGCTTAGGGGTTTAGGGGTTTCGGGTTTTGGGGCTTCGGGTGTCAGAGTTTATACAGTGTCATACATAGATTTCTTAAAGGGTTACAGAGTGCCGTATGAGAACTCTTTTCAAGGGTCTATGCCGACTCGTACTGCTCATGATGTAAATCCTGCATTGCCTTAAGGACCCTAGACTCTGGGAGTCATGGTACAGTCCTTGTTTATGGGTAATGCAGGATTGATATCATCAACCATTTTTGGGGGGTTCCTTATTATAGTTATAGTATAATATACCTCAAAACCCTACATATTCCTTATTATAATTATTAGAGTATAAAACACCCAAAACCCTAATTCCTTATTGTGGGTAATGCAGGATTTAGATCATCAGCCATACTGAGGAGTGTTTGGTGTTTCAGGCTTCCAGAGGGGTTTAGGGCTTTAGGGCTTTAGGGCTTGTAGCGGTTAGGGGTTTAGGGCTTAGGGTTGAGGGTTTAGGTTTTCGGGTTTTTCCGGCTTAGGGGCCCATGGGTTTCAAGTCTGGTCAGGGGTGCAGGCTAGGGTTTACTGAAGTTTACTGCTTTGCGGTTTAATTCTAGGACATTTTCAGGTGAGTAGCTACCGTCTTATGGCTTACAGAACCCTTATTATAGAAGCCCTCTATACCCTAAACTCCCCACCCGTAGTTTCCTAAACCTAAACCCTAACCCCCCTAAACCCTAAACCCTAAAACCCTGAACCCTAAACCATTAATGGGTTTTTAGTGGTTTTGAGGTGTGCAGGGTTTGGGGCTTAGGGTTTCGGAGTTCGGCTTGGGGTGTACGTGGGTCTGGGGTTTTAGCTAGGGTTGTGCTCTTTTGTTGTTGCATGTTGAGTCTCTTCGTTCCAACCGAAAACGAGGAAGAAGGGTACCCTTATTACTAAGGAGGTACTGGCCAACCTAGCACCTATCGCAGGTAGTGCTTAGGTACCCCAACCCTCGTAGTTGCACCCTGCCATATGGGCAGTTCTCTAAAGTAGGGTCCCTTTTTAGGTCCCCAATAATAGTGCGGCACCCTTATAAAAAAGGACTCCCAAAAGGGATCCTACTTTAGAGAGCTACCAATATAGTTGAAACCGTACCTCACCTAGAGGGTCCATATATGCTACCATTAAGGAAGTAGGCCCCCAAAACCATATTGAGGATGGTCTTTTGGGGCCTAATTCCATAATGGTAGTATGTATGGACCCTCCTGGGTAATAAGCCCTAAATCCAAGCCGTGAAGCTTTCACCCTGCTAGGTTTCGGGATGCAGCTGCAGACGGACAAAAGGGCGCTCACAAACACACACCCTAAAACCCTAAACCCTAAACCCTAACCCTAAACCCTAAAACCCGAAACCCTAACCCTAAACCCTAAACCCTAAAACCCGAAACCCTAAAGCCCAAAACCCTCACCTTACTTGGACCACTGTTGGGGTGTAGCCGTGAATCCGAAGGCCGAGGGTTTTGGGGCAACGGTGGTCCTGGGTTTAGGGTTCTGGGTCTAGGGTTTAGGGTTTAAGGTTTGGGGCTTAGGGCTTAGCGTTTAGGGTTTAGGCTTTAGGGTCTAGCCCTATAATCCCAGACCAGAAAGCCTCCTTTCTCAGACGTTCGAGGCATCCGTCGCGGAATCGTTGCTGCTTGTCAGCACGGAAGTATCGGGAGCGTTCTGGCTGTACGGGCAGTTCTTTAAATTGGGGTTTAGGGGTCAGGGGTTTGGGCTGTCGGTTTAGGGTTTAGGGTTCAGGGTAGTTCTCTAAATTAGGGTTTAGTAGGGGTCAGGGGTTTAGGCTGTGGGCTTAGGGTTTGGGGCAGTTCTCAAAACTAGGGCCCCTTTTGTGTCCCCGATATAGTGCGACACCCTTGTAAAAAAGGACCCTAGAAGGGACCCCGATTTAGAGAACTACCCATATATAAGTAGTCTCGTGATTATATCCTTCTGCTGCCGGGGATCTCAGATGTTACGACCATGTCCTTCTCAGATCTTCAACTCTTCCCTAACAACCCTAAGACTCCAAGCATACAAATAGTAGCCACTTTGGGGTCTACAGTCTACAAATAGTACCTACTTTGGGGCTATTTGGAGTCTTGGGTTAAAGCCCGGCAGCCTAAACTTCCACACCGTGACCCCTCAGCTCCAAATCCTACAGGTCCTACCCCGGCGACCGTCATGAACTCCCAAACCCTTTGTTTCCAAGTGTTTGTAGCTTAGGGTTTGTTTGGGGTTTACCCTAAGGTTCCTGGACCCCTGTAGTGAGATCCCAGACACTAGCCCCCAAAGCCGAAACCCTGCCCCGAGAAAGCCCAAGACCCCTCTTAGGAGCCTTGGGGTAGTATTTGGGACAGTAGATGATCTAATATACCCTAAATACCCCACTATTCAGGACCATAAGGGCTCTATTATCAAAGGGTACTTGCGGGGGGTGCTGGTAAGGTTTGGGTCCTCTGCACGCTTAGAGAAACAAAGCCACAAGCCGATTCGCCTCGAAGGCGCTGGAGCCGCAAACCCTCTACTGAGTTCTTGTTAGGGGGTGTTTAGGGCTTAGGGTTTACCCTAAGGCTGCTACGAGGGTCTTGGGCTTTCTGGGCGAGGGTTTCGGCTTTGGGGGCTAGGGTCTGGGATCTCACTACAAGGGTCCAGGAGCCTTAGGGTAGGGTTTTTAATTTAAGTTACCATAATGGGGGTCTATAGTAAATAGTATATAAATAATAATGATATGTGGTTTCTTTTTATTAGCTTGCGTAAAGAATCCCCTAACAAGAACCCGGTCTACGCCATGAGGCAAGTTTGCTTCGACGCGTCGGCGCAGATCGTTCCTGAACGACCCAAGATGCCTCTGCCGAAGTTCCTGACCACGGGGTGTCTGGGCAAGACTTTCATTAGTTTAGGGTTTAGGGTTACTTGGTTCCCAATACCCAACCTTTAAACTTGTTGGGTTCTTTTAGTGTAACAGTAATCTGAAAGTTTAACCTGTTATTTGCCTGGCTTCTTGGGGAAGTCAGTTTACCCATAGGCTCCATGGTAGTTCCGTTTTTGTGGTTCATATTCAGGATCCTATTATAAGGTAATCCCAAAAAGGAACCACAATGGCGCCTATGGGTAAGTCTAAGAGTTTGAGCGTTTAGGGGGGTTTAGGGCTTGGGGCTTAGGGCTTAGGCTTTGGGGCTTAGGGCTTGGAGTTATGGCTTTGGCACGGGTCCTGAGCTGAGGGGGTTTAGGGTTTAGGGTTCCGCTGAAACAGGAAGGCTTTCCATGTCTATTCCCGAGCTTCCAGAGCAATTAGCTGCCCTGTACTTGTTCAAGCGAGTTAAAGAGTAAGGGTTGAGGGTTTAGGGGTTTAGGGGTTGGGGATTTAGGGTACAGGGTTTGGGGGTTTAGAGTAACCCTTAGCCCCAAAGGACTCATATTTCAAGGCGCTTTGGGCCCAAAAACCCTATTCCATGAGGCTTTTGGGCTACTTTGATGCTAAGAGTAAGGCAGTTTCAGCCTTCATCAACTCTTTCTGGGACACTCTTTACCATGCCCTACGGGTCCATGTACCCAGATAGACATACTTTGGCCTTGAAGTAGTCCCTATTTGGCTACTTTGTCCATATATCCATAATTTATTTTTCCTACACCCTAAACCCTAAACCCCCAAACCCTAAACCCTAAACCCCTAAACCCTAAACCCTCAACCCTAAACCCTACAGTAG